CACACACATCAGTGTACCTAGTGTGATTGTCAGAAAAAATTGCAGGAAAAGAGGTATCGTCAGCTTGTCTGGCTAACTCAGACAGTAGATCTCGAGGCGTTAAATAATGGTGTCGAGCCTCAGTTGGGCGTCACTTATTTTGTCATATTATTTCATATTAAATTTGCTACTTTACTCGAAACATACAATGTTGAACATACAATTAGTAAAAAGACAAAATATTATATGTCCTCGCACACAGTGTGAATTCACAAACGTTAAGCATACGCAGAAAAAAACAAAGCCTTAAGAGGACGCTACACACATATTTGTTGTCTCCGTCTTATATAAGTGCGTAACATAGCAAAGTTACGCTCGGCAGATCACGTGTTACTCCGTTGATTTAAAAATTAAAAATTAGAGTTAATTGACCTATTATGAAACTTAATGTTAAGACATGATCCGTGTTTGTATGTTGGTTTTTTACGATAGTTCAATTTTGTAGCAAGTTATTATGCGTATATAAAAAGCGTAAATTAAAAATGCTCATAACTCACTTAAAAACTTGGCTATCGTTAAAAACCAACATACAAACACAGATAATGTTCTTAACATCATAATATGTCGATTTACTCTTATTTTTTAAACTAACAGAGCTAAACGTGATCTGCTGATCGTTAATTTGTTATGTTATGCATTTGTAAGACGGAGACAACAAATGGCTGTGTAACGTCCTCTTATAGGCTTAACCCGTTTATATTTAAAATACAAACACATCAAACGGGCAAGAGCCACGACATATTCGACGTTAAACACCTTCGGTCCTACTTCCTAATCAACACATCATGTTGGCGTTCAATATAATTAAAATGTTGTTATTTTTAGTTGACCTGCAATAGAAATTCGTATAATAATTTAATAATGAAAAAATTATCTATTGTCGTCTCAGCTTATTTGTGTCAATCCTTAAATATATTTTCACACGACATTAAATTATAGGTACTTTTTTCTCAAAGGTATAATATTATTACATTTGTACATTTTGACAATATTCACAACAAAGATAAAATCCTGCAAACAAAGGTGATTAATTATTATTAATGTTAATAACTTATTAACATTAATAATAATTAATAAGAGATATAGAGACCATAGCACTAACGTTAAACTAGGTTATAAAGTTATGTTCTTATTGGGAAAATTTAAATTTTTGAGATTTCAAAATCGTGAATACCCTACATTTTATTAATTTTATATTGATCCAAAAATACTGAATTCTGCACTTCGAAAATTTACAATTAAGTATCAAAAACACACCAAGTCGCATAAATATTTTTTTCATATAAGTATAAGAATGATAATTTTTAGAGAACAAAATTTATTTTTAATCTATAGAGTGTGTGTTGTGATAGAATACACGTGACTTTAGTCTTTAAAATAAATTAACTGATAAGTATAACCATGCACATCATAGAAAAAGTAAGATAGAAACTTTAAAGTAACTCGTTATTACTCAATTTTGTATTAATTCGATATATGACATATTATTATTAAATACTGGTTGTATCACTTGCCTGCCTAATTATTATTTTACAAAATTGAATTTTTCATTAAATACGTATTTTATTTCTAATTCTCGGCAGTATCTAGATGTGCTTTGGATGTTAATAAAGATACTGCTGCAGTCATCATCATACAAATTATACAAAGTATTATTTAGCCCTAATCACCTAACAAAACAGTACGTCAGCGGTAGGACGGATTTTAATTCTGAAAAAAACATCTGAATCTGATTTACAAGTTTTCTATGTTTTGCGATTTTCAACATTGGTTTTATTTCAACTGAAGTAAAAATGGTATTTCGTATCATGATTTATAGCTAAAAATTTTAAAACTATTGAAATCATCTASATAGTAAACTTGTTAATGAATTAAAACGTAGCAATCAAACTTAGTATAGGTAAATTTTCGGAATTAAACATCCCAAAATTTAAATATCTTAAGATTCATGTCAATACTTTAAAAACATATAACCATCAATAACATGATATGCTATTRCTAATTGTWAATTGTTCAATCATTATTATTTGTATTCATTTTTACTCACKTATGTATTAATTAATTCYATTAATATTTCCATAATTTTTTTTTAATTTCTGTATTATACATTAATAAYAAATTTTATTTYTTTAGCAGCAGCTTATCTTTTAAAAAGAGAACTAAATTTAATTTATTTTAAGCTTAATTTAATTTATCTTATYATCACYCTATYTCTTAWATCTATATTTTTAATTTGATTTCAAATAAATATTATTACTACTATTAACTCTGTMTAATCAAAATCCTACAGTATCCGAGTGGGTGATATATTACTTTTAAATTGTATTTTGAGTGGCTTGTAATCGGAACTCCACGTACGAAAGTGATCCGATTAAAAATCAATGATACATTTATACATGGATAATACAATTCCCAGTTTAAACTCACCATTCATCAATATTATATAATTCTAACCGTATTATTAGTTCACTGAAAAGTGACTAGAACACTGTATTATCAATTATCCTGTATTTTTCTCCTCAATACACGGGCAGCTGCAGACTGTGGTTCCCTTAAAATTTTAAAACTAACATATTATCATAATATTTTTGTAACTAAAAATAAAGTGAACATTTCATAATATAGGACACATTAGATATATATATGCCTTATTTCTCGTTTTATATTTAACTATAGATAACCTAATCAAAACTATATGAAATTACATAATTATAAATCGGAAAAGCAATTTTGTAATAGTGAGCTGTATGATTATGTATATATTTAGTCATCATTATCTAACGCAGACTTCCTTTAAAAACTGATATTAAACGGAAATAGTTTTTTATTATATCAATGTAATTTCCAATACCTATATAATTGTCAATTATAAACTCAATGTATGTTAAGGTCAAAGTAGGAAATCGGTCAATGTGAACTCAGTTCATACGAAAAATAAACGACTGCCAAAAGTATGAAAATGTTGTTATAATTTCAAATAATTATGACCAAAATATGTATCCCGGTTTCAGAAAACAGATAAAATTTACGATCAATTAAATTAAACCTTATCGTTGATATATTTTCGTTACAATATTGGTAAAACATTTATTCGAAAACGGTTTTTAAATACATTTTATTACAACAGCAACAATCAGTAAAATCTTAGTCGCCCAATAATAGTTTACCATAGGTACCATATATGTTCAATCGTCTTTAGACTGTAGTCGTAATAAGTATACATAATAAAATATAATGTGGATATCTTATCCTTTACGGCTTTACAGATGGTACACAGACGTATAATAGAACAGATGAAAAATCAATTGTATTACTTATAGAGTTAAAT